AACTCTCGCCTTAGCGCCGCGCGTATTCGTCGTAAACGTTTGTAACAGCCTCAAGGGGTCGTATGTCTTAAGTCACAGGGGTCATGTTCTGGTTCGATTTATGCATGTCGGGGCGCAACGGTCACGTTGGTTCGTGGCGTTGAAGTTCTAGGAGTGGAGTTCTGGCACGACTTAGGATTGTCATGACGCAGCAGTCCCGTTGATTCGCGGTGTTGAGGTCCCAGGAAGTGCGCTTTGCCACGATTGAGGATTCTCGAATGTTTGTCTTCCGATTGGACACCTCCAGCAGTGCAGGTAAGTTCTTGCAAGGGCCAATGAAGAGAGACCTTGGACGGAGGGTCTATTGCAACATCGATGATGAGTTTTGGGTCTGCACTAGTCCTCTTCCTCCTCCTCCTGTTTCTCCCCGTTCCGCTGAGCTTCGACCGGAAGAGGTGCGCTCTCGACCCGCGAATCAAAAAAGTTTCTCCCCGCTCCCTTTCTGCCAAAGTAGGGGGCTGCGGCTTTTGATCGAGACCGCTTGAGCCCACAGACCTCCACGGACCCCGCCCTCCGCCCCGCCCTCCTCCTCCACGACCTGTGCCGCCCCCTTGCTCCGAGGCGGCCGCCCGCGGAGGCGGGCGCGGGGGGACCCCTCGAAGCTGTGCCCGACCCGCCTCCTCTCGACCTGGCTCTCTCAGGCAGCGCGGGGTGGACCCCTCGAGAAGGCCTTGAGGCATCGTGTGAAGACCATCCAGACCTCGGCTTCTGGTAAGGCAGTTGCAGGCACAGCTCGGAGCAGGCGGGCCGTGAGGCTCTTCAGCAACGCCTCCCCTCCTGTGCGGCCGTTCGCTGTCACAGCGGGCAGCGGCAGGAGGACTGTGCAGCCGTTCGCTGTCACAGCGGGCAGCGGCAGGAGCACATTGCACACCAGCGTTGAGTGTGGGAGAAGCCATCGTGCCCGACCCCGACCGGCCTCTTCCTTTCCCCTTTCCAAGGCTCCCGCCGGGCCGGCGCGGCAGCCCCAGCGCTCCGCGCGCGCTCGTCGTCGTTCCGCCGCCGAGGCGCAGCGCTGAGGAGAACACGGCGCTCAGGCGCCCCTGGGAGAAGGAGGAGGAGGAGGAGGAGGGGGGAGAGAGGGAGAACGGATGATGATGGTGAGGATGATGACGGTGATGCTGATGATGATGATGATGATGATGAGGAGGAGGAGGAGGAGCAGGAGGGGGAGGGTGATGATGCTGCTGCTGCAGCTGATGATGATGAGGAGGATATTGCTGCTGCTGCTAATGATGCTGAAGATGATGCTGATGGCTGATGATGATGCTGATGGTGAGACAATGATGATCTTATGATGTCGATGACGATGATTATCATGCTGATGATGATCCTGATGATAATGATGGTGATGCTGTTGTTGATGATGATGCTGACGGCGATGACGGTGATGATGATGCGAATGATGATAATGCTGATGCTGCTGCTGATGATGCTGCTGCTGCTGCTGCTAATGATTATGCAGATGATAAGACGGTGATGATGCTGCTGATGATGATGCTGCGGATGATGTTGCTGATGATGATGGTGATGGTGATGCTGATGTTGGTGATAAGGATGATGCTGATTGTGATGATGATGCTGATGCTGATGATGCTGATGATGATGATGGTTCGTATGATGGTGATACTGGTAATGATGATGCTGCTGATGATGATGACGACGATCATGCTGCTGCTGATGATGATTATGATGATGGTGATGAAGATGACGACGACGATGATGATGATGCTGATACAAAAGATGATGATGCTGATGATGATGATGATGATGATGATGTTGATGTTGTTGCTGATGATGATTGTGATGAGGATGATTATGCTGATGACGCTGCCGCGGGTGCTGCTGATGATGATGCTGATGATGATGTTGATGATGATGCTGCTGCTGATGATGCTGTTGATGATAATCATTGCGAATCGGATGGTGATGACGATGATGCTGGTGCCGATGATGACGCTGATGCTGCTGCTGATGATCATGATGCTGATGATGATGTTGACGATGGTGGTGGTGGTGGTTATGATGATGGCGATGATGATGCTGCTGATGATGATGTTGATGATGATGCTGCTGACGTCGACGATTTCTTGTTGAGTCTGATGATGATGCTGCGTATGGTAATGGTGGCGCTGATTGTGGTAACGATGCTGGTGCTGGAGACGATGACGATGATGGCTTCTATGATGAGTTTGGCTGCGATTGCGATGATGACGATGGTGATGGTGATGATCACCGTTATGATGCCGAGGATGTCGAGGAGGATGGGGATGATCGGTCGGGGGATCGAGGGAGGGAAGGAGGGAGGGAAGGAGGGAACGGGGGAGGGATGGAGGGAAGGAGGGAGGAGGGACGAGAATCAGGAGGAGGGTGATGAAGAGCGATGGAGGAGGAGGGAGGAGGGACGCAGAGCTGATGGATGATGGTGACGACATTGATGCGCACGTTGGTGATGATGCTTATGATAGTGATGATGAGGATGGTGATGATCCTGATGCTGATTACGATGACGATCAGGATGCTGATGTTTTTGAGGATGATGCTGATGCTGATGCTGACGACGATGATGATGACGGCGATGATGAGGATGATGATGATGATGATGATGATGATGATGATGATGGTGATGATGATGATGATGATGATGATGATGCCGACGAGGATGATGATGAAGATGATACAAATGATGACGATGATGATGATGACGATGACGGCGATGATGATTATGCTGATGCCGTCGACGACGACCACGATGATGATGGGGATGCTTGTGATGGTGGTGGTGGTGGTGGTGTTGATGACGACGATTGTGATGCTGCTGCTGATGATGCTGATGATGCTGATACGGATGTTGCTGCTACTGATGATTATGATGATGACGATGATGGAGACGATGATGATGATGATGATGCTGATGATGATGATGATGATGATGGTGCTGGTGATGATGATTATGATGATGTCGGACTATGGAGATGGATATTTTGGTGGTGATGGTCATGCTGGTGAAGACGCCTGTATCGATGATGATTGCGATTGCCACAGCGCCGACGACGGCGATGTGGATGCTGATGCTGACGATGATGGTGATGCTGATGCTGCTGATGATGAGTATGATGATGATGCTGGTGATGACGATGGTGATGGTGACGACGGTGCTGACGGTGATGATGATAAGGAGGCGGCTGATCGTGATGCATCTATTCCGCTGGTGAGTAATGTGGGGACCGCGGGGAAGATGATGTCGAGGATGTCGATGAGAGTGGTGCTAATGGGGATGATGCTGTAACGGTAACTTCATTGATAGTGATGACGGTAACTTTGTTGATAGTGATGACAATGATGATGGATGATGATGATGGTGATGATGATGATGATGATGATGGTTTTGATCATGATGTTGCGAATGATGATGCTGATGATGATGATGATGATGAGGATGTTGATGATGATGACGATGATTATGAATATGATGGTGATGATATGATGATAATCATGATGATGATGACGATACTGATGATGTTGATGATGATGATGATGATGATGATTCTAATGCTGCTGATGATGGTGACGATGATGATGCTGGTAGTGGTGACGGTGATGGTGATGATGATAGTGATGGTGATTCGGCTGACGCTGATGATGGTGGTTGTGGCGACGACGACCATGACGTTATCGATCTTTGTGATTCTGGTGGCGGTGGTGAGGCTGACGTCGTCGATGATTGCGATGACGACATGCTGGTGGTGATGATGACGCTGATGAGGATGGATAGTGATGGTGATGGTTGTGTTGATGATGATGTTGCTGCTGATGATGATGAGAAGGATGCTGATGCTGATGCTGATGTCGATGCTGATGCTGATGCTGATGCTACTGACGAGGATGCTGCTGGCGATGATGATGCAGCGGATGATGATGATGATGATGATGATGATGATGATGATGATGATACTGATGCTGCTGCTGATGATGATGATCATGTCGATCACGATGATGCTGATGATGATGTTGATGATGTCGATGGTGATTCTGATGAGGCTGGTGATGCTGATGACGATGATGTTGATACTGATGCTGCTGATGATGCTGATACTGATGATGATGATGATGATGATGATGATGATGATGATGATGATGATGATGATGATGATGATGATGATGATGATGATGATGGTGGCGGTGTTGGTGGTGGTGATGACGGTGGTGGTGATGACAATGATCGACGGATCGAGGATGTATCGACGGGGCGAGGGAGGGATGAATCGAGGGAGGGATGGATCAGGGTGACCCCCGTCGCACGAGGTTCGCTGCAGACTCGGCCGACATCCTCCGCCAGTGCGGACTGGACGCGCAGGCGGAGTCTCTGCAGGAGGCGCCGCAGAGGAGGAGGCGGAACAGGCGGAAGAGGAGGAGGAAGAGGAGGAGGACGATGACGAGAAGGAGGAGAATGAGGAGGAAGAGGAGGCGGAGGAGGAGGAGGAGGCGGAGGAGGAGAAGGAGGGGGAGGGGGAGGGGGAGGAGCGGGGAGGAGGAGGAGGAGGATGCTGGAGGGAGGGAGGAACGGAGGAGGAGGAGGAGGAGATGGGAGGGAGGAGGAGGATGAGGAGGAGGAGGAGGAGATGAAGAGGAGGAGGAGGAGGCGGAGGAGGCGGAGGAAGAGGAGAATGAAGCGGAAGCGGAGGCGCAGGCGGAGGCGGATGAGGCGGATGTGGAGGCGGAGGCGGAGGCGGAGGCGCACGCGGGCGAGGAGGAGGAGGAGGAGGAGGACGAGGAGGATGATGATGATGAGGAGGAGGAGGAGGAGGAGGAGGATGAAGAGGAGGAGGAGGAGGAGGAGGAGGAGGAGGAGGATGAGGCGCAGGCGGAGAAGGGCGAGGAGGACGGGGATGAAGAGGAGGACGAGGAGGATGTAGAGGAAGACGAGCGGGTGTTGATGATGAGTTTGATGATTATGCTGAGGACGCTGATGATTCTGATGGTGGTGGTGATGACTGTGATGATTGTGGCGATGATGTTGCTGATGTTGATGATGATGATGCTGAGGATCATGCTGATGCTGGTGATGCTGATGTGGATGCCGCTGCTGCTGACGATGATGATGCTGGTGGTGGTGATGATGACGATGTTGATGATGCTGATGTTGCTGATGCTGATGATCATGCCAATGATGATGATGATGATGGTGATGATGATGCTGATGATGATCAGGATACTAATGATGATGCGGATGTTGATGCTGATCATGATGATGATGATGATACTGATACTGATGATGATGCTGATGATGATGATGATGATTATGATGCTACGGATGCTGACGATGCTGATGC